AATTACCAAATAATAGTTAATCGATATTCAACAACTTCATTAACAATTTGATATAATCTACACCGTTTTTACCTACAAGGTCAATATGACCTTGACTTTTGACCCTAAAATCAATAGGGGTCATCTACTTACCCAGACCAATGCACCTACGAAATTGGAGGGTCAACAGCCCATGGGTTGTCATGGTATCGATGGGAAACTGTTGTTACCTACAAGGTCAAAATGATTTGACCCCAAAATTAATAAGGGTCATCTACAGACCAAGATCAATGCACCTGTAAAGTTTGAAGGTCAAAGTCCAACGAGTTGTTGAATTATTACTTGTTTGTTTGTTTTTGGGCTTTACGTCACATCGACACAGTATAGGTCATATCGCGACGTTCCAGCTTTACTGGTGGAGGAAGACCTCAGGTGCACTTCCGTGCATTATTTCAGGAAGTTATTAATTGGGAACAATCTTAAAACTCATGGCAAATTTGACCTTGAACTTTGACATAAAGACCCCCCCCCCCACAAAAAAGGGATCATCTTCTGGTCATGACTAATCCCCATTACAAGTTTTAAGTTCCTAGGACTAAGCATTCTTTAGTTAGTTATTTCTCGGAAACCATTTGGTCCACGGGCCAACAGTTAAAACGCAAAGCAATATATCCCCAGCTTCTTTGAAGGGGAACATAATAAATGGATAAAAAACAGATATGTTTCTCACACTTTTTATTTGTTTGATAGTCATTTAAATGATTAATCACAAACTAAGATTAGTTGACATAACATCAGATTGGTCGAATAATAATACTTCATTTTGCTAGAAATAAAACACTGGCACAGAAAAAAAAATTCAAGCATCATCAGCAGCTTATAGATTGTCAAGTTCTTCCATCAAACCAATATTTTAAAAATCTGAAAACAACCATCTATGGTTCTTAATTTGATAATAGCCATACTTGATCTGTAAAATAAATTAAAGACATGTAACCTTTTAAGTTAGAATGAAAATGCAATTTGCGACTAATAGTTGGAATTCTACAGATATTAATTTGGATGCAAAACTACGATGATAGTGATAAGGAAGCATTTTCTAAATATAAAATTTCAAATCATTAGGTCATCATTATGTCAATGGTCAATTTCAAACTGAATCTTAAAATTAACCAATCTGTTGCTATACACCTGTATATACATGTATATCTATTGAAATAAAAACATTAATTTTATTTCAATTACACCAAATATTCTTAAAAACCAAATGTTATTTTTCATATAACTTGTAAAAGAAAAAAAACTTATCAAACCTTAATTGTCAAACAAATTATTTATTTTTGAAAAAAAAGAGCATGCTGTGTTAATTGTTAATGCTCATCTGCTAAAAGTCCAAAAGGGGCATAACTAAAAAATATTATTTCAAATTTAAGCCCCTTGTCCGACAAATGCATCTTGTCATGATACGCAAGTGTGTCAAGTTTTATGTTGATAACTTTCAAAATGTTTGAAGAATTGGCTACATTTAAGTTTTTGCATGGCAACAATGCAGGTACTGACAAGCTTATAAAAGAAGATAATTTCTAAGTCTGACAACACTTAACAATACACATTTAGATCTTAAATTAATTTTATGACTGGTGGAAAGAAAATACTAAATTTTTTTTTTTAAATAATAGTGACATAGTGAACACATTAGGCTTAATGTGAAACAAGATGGTGGTTTAACAACAACTACTATTACATGGGGGCATCATGAACAAACAATCAGCACTAATCGAATTCTATTTTTAAATGCGGAAATAATATTTGTTAAAATCATTCTTAAGTAATTTTCATCTAAAAAGTGAATCAAAAACATTATAACTAGAAATGTGTCCATAGGACACGGATGCCCCCACACGCCACTGTTCTGTCAATCTTATGACTCTAGGTCAAATATTTTTTAGACTACATGTGCCACAAGTTGAAAACTAAAAATCAACAAAGTGCCATAATTCTGTAAAATTTGGTCGCAGCAAAAATTCCTTCCTTTACTACCATCTACACATTAAGGTTGTTCATCCCTGGAAGTTAAAGCAAAATCTGCCATCCGGTTTAAGAGGAGTTGCGTTCACAAAATTTCTTTATGGTATATAGTGAAAAAATTAACAAATGGCCATAATTCTCTTAAATTTGATGTCAGCAAAAATACCTTCCTTTACTACAATCTACACATTAAGGTTGTTCTTCCTTGTAAGTTTAAGCAAAATCTGCCATCCGGTTTAAGAGGAGTTGCGTTCACAAAATTTCTTTATGGTATATAGTGAAAAAATTAACAAAGGGCCATAATTCTCTTAAATTTGATCGCAGCAAAAATTCCTTCCTTTACTGACATCTACACATTAAGGTTGTTCTTCCCTGTAAGTTTAAGCAAAATCTGCCATCCGGTTTAAGAGGAGTTGCGTTCACAAAATTTCTTTATAGTATATAGTGAAAAAATCAACAAAGGGCCATAATTCTGTTAAATTTGGTCGCAGCGAAAATTCCTTCCTTTACTACCATCTACACATTAAGGTTGTTCATCCCTGTAAGTTTAAGCAAAATCTGCCATCCGGTTTAAGAGGAGTTGCGTTCACAAAATTTCTTTATAGTATATAGTGAAAAAATCAACAAAGGGCCATAATTCTGTTAAATTTGGTCGCAGTGAAAATTCCTTCCTTTACTACCATCTACACATTAAGGTTGTTCATCCCTGTAAGTTTAAGCAAAATCTGCCATCCGGTTTAAGAGGAGTTGCGTTCACAAGATTTCGGGACGTACGGACAGACGGACAGACGGACGGACGGACAGACGGACGGACAAGTGCAACGCTATATGCTCCCACTTTGTGGCGGCATAATAAACTAATAAAGTTGGCACACCAAAATTATGCAGCTTTGGCAAGTTTTAAAAGAACTATGGCAACGGAAATGAAACAAAACAAGAGAGCTATCTGTACAACAGTATGCTCAACTTTTTCTCTGTATGTGATAGTAGAATAGGAACAAGTTTGATAAAAGGGGACATAACTATGTCAAAATCAAACGTAGATTTCATGACCTCTTGTATAGAAACAGGTGTGAAGGTCATCAACAAGTATTCAAAGCATATCTCAAGGTTCAAACTGGATTGTGAGAACAGAATACTAAAATCCCCAAGTCAAAATGGGGTATAATTATTTTGTCATTATTCAAGACATATAAATATACAGTACTCTTACTGGTCAAAGTTAAGTTAAAGTTGTTCTTCATAAAAAGCCTTTGGTAGACATTACACCTTTTATTAGACCAAAAAAAATCTAGCTTACTTAAAATACCAAATATGTAATTTTATGTGTGTGTTTTAAATAAGGAACCTTACACTTTGGACATATACATGTATAATTAAAGAATGCAATAAAGTATGAGATTAAAATAAAAATAAAGAAATGCTTATGTTTTAAACAATTGAAAACATATGAATTGACAAAAATTGAAATTTGAAACAAGAATGTTGAATTTATAAATGAATTATGATAAGACATGACCGAACACTTCTTAAAGGAACTTTGGACAAACCAAAGTAATGTGAAAATGGTAACAAAAGAAATGAGAAATAAAAAAAGAAATGTGAAATAAGAAGGAAAAAATGTGAAATAAATACAGAAGAAATGTGAAATAAAAAAAGAAGAAATATGTAATAAAGCTCCAAAACTGATAATAACCCAACATAATACATAAGATATTTCAACCACATGTATATCACAGTGAAGTAGCATATAAATTAGATTTTAGCTACTAAATAAGTGCACTGATTTATAAATAAATGCACTGATTTATACACAAATGCACCGACTTATAAATCAATGCACTGATTTGCACACAAATGCACTTTTTTATAAAATTCTGAATCTCCTATTTGATGAACACAAAAGACTTTTTACCACATTGCAAATACATAATATCTAACAGAAAGATTTATTAAAGGCAAAATGCAAGTATACTTTGTTTTGAAATGGCAAAAATTGGCATAAACTATTTTATATTGTTTTTTTTCATCAAGATTTTGCAGAAATGTACAACAGTATCATTAAGTTTAGTGTTTATCAGCAAACAAACACTGTAAGGATTACACTTATCCCCTACCCCACTAATTAACTTTAATGGACTTGTCCGTTTCTCAATATGGACTAAAACCACTGATCATTTTTTAGGGAAAAGTTGAAAATAAGTGTTTTGGCTGAATAGCTAACAACATGCAGACTATGATTAGACCGCACAGAAGTGCCTGGTGATCTTAGTCTGCACTGGTCGCATAAAGTACAGTCTGTTTCTGCCAGCAGGCTCATGGTTAGATGTAAAAATTTATTTAGTCTCCTTAATATTTCACAAAAATAAGTTTTTTATTCATTCTTTCCTATTGATTTAAATTATCAATTATTCCTAAACAAGAAATATGTGTCATCATTTATATATTACTACACCAGGAGCAAATATATTAATTTATTATATATTAAAATCTTTAATAAATGACTAAGACAGCAAAAGTATAGATATAAATATAAAAGAAGTACATTACAACAATCAAAAGGCAAAATACATGAACTTATCTTTTTTGTAATTTCATCATTATCTTTATTTTAATAATCTATCATTTATGCTCAACATAAAAGTTCAAAAACATTTAGAATAAAAATTTACCAGATTTAAACTATGATTTAACTAAATCATCAATATATAAACACAGTTTTATGTTTTGATTTGAAACCCTTTCAACTAAGATCTTGATGGAAAAAACCTGACACTTATAAGATTAAAGATATAAAATATAAGGGACTTCGCTGCGAAATATTCATTTTTCAAATAAAGTAACAAATTTTCTTAAAAATAACAAATCCATACATGAAGAATGATAAAACATTTTACATTACAACAACATATTCAAGGTATCTCCCTTTAAGTCAGGAAATATTGTGAACATTTCTTATTGAATATTTTCCTATAAGTAAAGCAGCAATTTTCCAGGGTCATATCATTTTCATGAACATTAAAAAGATCTTTTGACATGGTTTACATGTTTTATGACTAAGGCTAGTCAAATTTCACAGATATATCTCTTACATCTTTAAAATTAATCATATTTTGCAGAAAACATGCAATTTTGCCACTTGGATTGTGAATTTTTTTTTATATATTTCTGAAACTTCCTACATATTAATTCATTGAGCTCGACTCTTTGGTAATGATAAAATTTACATATTCAAGCTACTTTTTAAAAGAAATCAACAGAATTACAACATTTTACAATTTTCTCCCACTTTTTTATTACTATTTTAGAAATAAAAGAAACATTAACACTAAGTAACATAAATAGGCAATATTTTTTATTACTATTAGAAACAGACAGTAACCTTCACACTTATAAAGTGGCAATATTGGACAGTGTCATTCTAGTTTAAGAATTATGTTTCATGTTTTTGTTTAAGTTATTTGACACAAAATATTCTTCCAACATAAAATATTAATATAAATCACTGTTTACTATTTCTCCAAAAGTCAAAATCACATCTATGTACTCAATTAAACTTCCCCCTTAAAATCTAATTATCCCTATTTATATATGTACAGTACATGTTTGCTGTTTTTTTTAGTAAATAAAAGCTTCATACGCACTTGCCCCTTTATATACATGTAAAATGAATACACACTCTTACATGAAATATATGTAAATGACATACAAAATAGTTACTACATGGAATGAAAAGACAAATATATACTTATATTGAAGTAGTTATCATTCCAATACCCTTGGAGATTTGTGATATTTGCAGTATTCACCTCAGATAATTATTTTTGTTATCAAATATGACATTATTTTCTATGTTAAGTTCCTATGTTCTTTTATAATAAATTGTTTCATGATATATTGCATTTTTAAAAGAGTATTTCTTTATGTAAATTGCCAAAACATATTCCTATTCCCTTACTCTAAAACTACTTTTCTGCAGAAAAATGAGTAAGTTGAAAATCTAATGTAACAAGAAATATCATTATAATTTATAAGATTATTGAAATCACAACTTCTTCAAAATTGACTTTAAAAACCCCACTTATTATAAATGCCCCAATCACTGACACGACACTGATGTCATAGCAGTATTGTCCTGACAAATATTTGACAATATTGCACTGACAATACTGTCTGACAATGTTGCCATGGTGGCACGGCCCTGACAACTCTGCCATGATATCAATGCCCTGACAAAGTTGCCATGATAAATGTTCCCTAATCAAATGTTGCCATGACATTATTGCCCTGATTGTTAAAACAACGTTTTGTCATGACAATATTAAGCAGGCAATGTTGACACGACAATTTATTTTAAACAGGAAGTGTTGCCATGACAATAACGCCCTGACAATGACTGAATGAAGATCACAGGTATTTTATCTAAGCAGTTGGATTGTTTTTCATAAGGTCCAGATCTGATTCCATCATTTCTCCAACTAGTTGCTGAAAACAGACAGAATACATATCTAGTTAAAGATTCACACTTCTATAAGCAGTAAGATGACTTTCATACTTACAAACTTGGAGCAAGAGAAGATAAAATTAACAGATAAACTATTTTCAAAATACATAATACATTGTGGTTATGGACACTTATGGATTGAGACCTAATGGCCATAGCCAAGGTTGTTTACTACCAAAGATCCAGACGTCAAAATAAAATATACACAATTATCAACACAACACAACAAATTGTTTATCTTATTTTAAACAATCATGCTCATTATTGTGCTCAATAAAAGCATTTTTTTAAAAATATCTTATTCATATTTTTTTTATTCAATATATTTAGTTCGCAGACTCATGGACACAAAAGTTTCGCAGACTCATGGACACAAAAGAACTTTATAAATCTACTTAAACTGAGTGGGTAACTATTTCCGAGTATGTGGCAGAATGGTGTCTGACTAGTAATCTTAGGATCACTAGCTGTGGGTTCAAACTCCATCTTGAGAAAGTTGTTGTATCCTTGACACTAACTCAGCTCAGTACTGGTTGGTTCTAGTAACAGTTTTGTGAATTTGTCTTTAAGCTTATAAAAAAAAAGAAAAGCTTATGGCATCCAACACAATCAAACTAAAATAAATTCTGTATACATTTGTAAACTAACTAATTCTGAACCAAGAAGCTGTAGATTCAATATCTTGGGGCACTTTTTTAAATAAATAAAAATTTGTACTTACATCAAATGTATAGTTAGGTTTCCATTTCAACATTTCCTTAGCTTTGGTACAGTCACCTTGTAAAAATTCCTGAAAAGCAAAACAAATCAATTTGTAATTTCAAATACTTTTCTGCAAATGATGATGTCACATCAACAAAATTACACCTTTATACAATTCAATTACATGTTCTCCAAAGTGTGTGTGTGTGTGGGGGGGGGGTGTGGGGGGGCCTCAGGGTTGGGATTTGGATGGAGAGGAGGCTGACATGATCAACCAACCTGCCGAACACCTATATGTTCAAAACATCCCCAAATAGAGGAGATACATATTTCTACAAGCTGCCCCTGCTTTATGTTCTTTTTTTATAATAGATGCATAGTTATGTAACTTGCCCAGATTATGTACTTTGTATTGATTAGTAAAAGTAAACATTATGAAGCAATTGGTATAGGTAAAACTTAAGAAAAATCACACCAACATGAAGGACATCCAGACGAACAAACAGTTCAATTACTTTATGCCTGGGGAGTCTGTTTTTTCTTCAATTTTTTCTCTGGTATTATCTTACATAAATTCTATATTATTTGCAAGAGATTGGGGGATAAAAAAGGGGTTGAGATTCACATTTAATTTTATTATTCTACCAACAAAGACAAGTGGGATTAAAGCACTGCCCAATAATTTGATCTTATCATATCACATCAAAGAGTGATGTACAGTGTTTATTTAGCAATTACTTTGGTAACATATCCCCCTTTTCTGTGTTTATACTCTATTTCTGTTTGTTTATAATACATTAATAGAATTATTGACTGTCATTAATATAACAAAGGGCTGTTTTTAAGACTACAAAACAATTCTTGGTTCTTAAAAGCTAGTTTATTGTAAATTGAATTTTGAGATAAATTATGAAGACTGATTTTACAAGGACGGACCCTTTGTCTTATTTTTTTTAACTTATATACAACTGAGCATGTCAAACACCAGGATTATGTTACTTGTTTCATTTTTCCAGTACCTTAAAACTCAAGTGCTTACAATCATACCAACAGTGGGTAAACAGAAACATTGTATTAGTAATACTAATTGATTGTATTATTTAAATTATCTTTATTGTTCATTATCATCATCATTACTATCATCATCATCTTTATCATCATCCTCATCATCATATCACCACCCCCATCATCGTCATCATCATTCCAACCACCATCATCATCATCAAAATTACCGCTGCCGACAACAACAACAACATCATCATCATCACCACCACCACCACCATTATCATCATCTTCAACATCATCACCATTATCATCATCATCATAACCATCATCATCATTATCATCATCTTTTTACTTATTATCTCAGAAACACTTAATGTGTATGTATACCTCAAAATTTTCATGAGAAAAGGAAGGGAATAATAACTGGTGAGGTTGAAGAACATATTATTGAACACTATGATTTTCTGACACCCTTAGCATTATCAGTACATCTGAATACGTCATGATCAGACAGATACCATGGTATTTGTACATCAATAAATCTGGTAACAGAGAAGGCTATTTGTTTACACATCATTTATACTGTGTTTAGAATAAACTAATCAGATTAGAGATCTTCTTAGATACAAGTTATCATAGCTATAAATCTGACATGCTTAACAGTCATCTATCTAAATGCAATCTGTTTATAATAATCCATAATTGTTTATCAAAGTTTTAATCCTTTGCTTATCAAAGAAATTGGATTTTTTAAAAATAAAATTCAAATTCACATTGATTGCAAAATTTGTAGGACAAAACCTTTTATCTATCATTGTTATAAATTAATACCAATGTAATTTGAAGGAGAGGGGCTTTTATATTCTTCAAAGTTATACTTATCAAATACCATTTAAATCTGGAAAAATACCTACTAAATAACTAATTTACAGTAAAACCTGGGTTTAAGACCACCTCTCAATAAAGTTTATCCTGTAAATAAAGGCTGCTTTTTGTTTACTATTCAATGATAAAATGGAATAAAATAACCTCTAAAATAAAGACCACCTGTCTATAAAGATCATTATTTGTCTCTCTCTCCATTGGGTGACCTTTGTTCACAGGTTTTAATGTAAATTGGGAAAAAAAATCTTTTATAGTTCTTCTTATTGCCAGTTAAGTTATACTTCATAATCAAATATATATCACTAGTTAAATTGGGTAATTTTGAGGCTGTATTTTAAACAGGGCTGTTTATTATACATAAAATACCTACTTAATAATTAACCTACTTAATAATTAAAAATGTATCACCAAATACATCGGTTAACTTTAAAACTGTACTTCCATAAAATATAATTACATTGCTAATTCATAATTAAATATATACCATTAGTAAAATTGCGTAATTTAAAGGCTGTATTTCAAACAGGGCTGGCATTTTGACTGCCTCATCTGAAGTATTTCTTAACTAGTCTGTAACTATGATATTTAAATTATAAAAAAATTCTGGAATAATTTCACTTGTCCGTACAGGCTGTGGGACATTACCTTCCTTGGGCAATACGGACAATTGATTATGCTGGCCCTGTCAAAGTAAACATTCTATTTCTTAAGATGTCAACATTTATTTGTATGTAAATACTTCACACCATAAGATATTTCATATTTCAAAATTTTCGCTCAAACATGTAAAATGCTGACTCCTGGCCGATTGTTTACTCAACAATTATACTTTGTCACCTAGTGGCTATACTAACTACGCGTATATTTACACGGCTTCCACAAATTTCTTTATCAAATTTGTGGCCCAAACTAGCGCAATGTTAAACCCAATATTTTAACAAAACTTACCAAGTTTTTATAAGTTTAGTCAATTAAAATGTATCAATATTTATAAAGGAAATGTCAAAACTTTATTAAACTTGTCACACAATTTATTTAGCTAGTTTTCGAAACAAAATCTTGTATTGAATAGACTGCATTAATATTTGACTAAAATACACATTTCGCTTAATGGGAATAAATTTAACTATTTACAATAAATAAATATGTTTCTTTTCCAAAACTATCAATGACACAAACATTTATTTTTCGCCACATAAAATTTTCAAATGTATACATTATTTTCATTTTCCTTAAGTAAATTTGCCGATTTTATAATTTTCTCAAAAAGAGAACATAATATTATTAAACGCCCATTTTAAGTTCGGTTTAAAACATTAAAAAAATATTCTTTTAATTTTCTTTTAATACTCTTGTCGGCTTCGGCACTATCTAACAATGAATATTAGGCCCTACTAAACACCTATTACTTACGGGATTTAGAAAATTATACAGAAATGTATTTAAGAATTTTAAATCCAATCAAAATATTAACAGAGTTGAATTTGCACTACAGTCGAAACATCTTTTAATTAAACAATGACAAGGTTTGATATACACATAGGTACACTTGTTCAGCTGTGGGAATTCTAAGTTTCTGAAATTCTCAAGTTAGAAAGCTGAAATATTTTTTCAAAGTATTTAATTTAGTATTTGTATGAAAATTTCCAACAATGACAATAAAATCTGTGTCCCTGAAAAAAAATCTTGACCATTCTATACTGATACTGCCTTTCTTCTACTTTGAAACTGTCTGTTGTATTAAACATTATGTGATTTAAAGCCACTTTATATTCTGTTGGAAAAACAATTCTTTGTTGTATCAAAATTAAGTATTTCAGTTATTTTATCTTGGAAAAGTGCATCATATCACTGTTATGCCTTCTTCAAACAGCTTCCTTAGAGATATTTATATCGTGCCAGTGACGTTTGTTTCCAAAAAAAGAAGATCGGGAAATAAATCATCTGCTTTATCAATTTAAACATAGAGAGTGAACCGGTCAATTAGAGGTATTGCAGGGTTTCCTTTTCAAACTTCATTTTCCACCCTGATAATCTTATGAAACAATTTATCTAAAAATAACATACAGTCCAACCCCGTTTATTCGAAGTGCCTGGGACTGAAAATTTACTTCGAATAATCGATGGGTTCGAATAATCGAAATCGAATATTGTGATAGACGAAAACTACTCTACTTTGACCAATCAGAGCAAAACTACCGTTTACTTACTTCCTGTAATCAACTGAGATAAATAAATATGAAAGAAAAAATGCATAAAAATTATTGTATTGACATTAAAGACATAAATACTTGCATTTTATTCTACATTATGTATCGTTTTGTTTCGTTCAAAGCCTTCGTTAATGGCCGTGTTATCACTACGGTATTTACAGCTAAACTCTGGTATTTTCCATTAGGATAAAGGCTTTCATGTAGCGTTACAATTAATGAAAAAGATGTTTGGATGTTTTGACAATTTTACATATACGGTAAGTATGAAAATTATTGCTGTTTGTAATCTTCAGGCAATAACAGTAACAAAATCGGACACGGCGCGAAGCTTTTCATTTCGGTATTTATAGTTGATAAAGAGTTATTATCATGATTGTCTAATTACACGCATGACTGTTGATATTTTTCACAAGTCGACCGTTCAGCGAGTGAATCTGCGCCAATTAGTCTGGCTTCGAATAATAATTAGGTGGGCTGCGAATAATAGGTGTGAAATTCTTTCATAATTGTATAATCGGGACCGAAATTTCACTTCGAAAAATAGGAGGTATTCGGATAATGCATTTCGAATAATACCCTCGTACTAATATTGATTTATATAGAGATAAAAACGGGACCGCCGATTCACTTCGGATAATGCCGGGTATTCGAATAAAGGGTTGTCGTATAACCGGGGTCGGACTGTATTTTTTAAATACCAAAATGCTAGAACAATTCAACAATACAATAAATGCTCTGATGAGCCTGACTGACTGGAATATTTAAAATTGTTGAGAATCATCCTCAAAAACATTTTGCAGTTTATATGAATATCTGATATCGCAATTTTTTTTTTAAAGAATATTCTAACAAGTCTAAAATTAATGAACAAATATTATCATTCCTATGACTTTCCGTAAAGTTTTATTTTTTCGTTATTGTTATACTGGGTTTTAATTAAATCAAACCAACACTATAATGGTTGTATGATGGCTTGACAGCTATACTAGTGGAGGAAAACTTCAGGTGACCTTACTTCACAGGTTATTTCACATACAAACAAGCATCTGATTAAAACAACCAACATTTTGTAAGCTAGTTGGATAGTTTCCTCAAATGAAAGAATCCAAACTTCTTGTTGGGATCCCAACCCACAGTGGTTATGCGCACATGGCTTGAAGTCAATACCATTGACTGGACAAAAACCATCAAATTTAGGGAATTTTCTAAATATGTACTGACTGAATAGCGACTACTGTAGACAATAAACAGGTACTTGGTTTACACAGGTGGCAGGGAGTGAATTAGTTGCCACCAGCAGGCTATGGATTAAACATTCAAACACAGCCTTATCTTTGGACTAGGTTTCTACACAACACTGTCAAGATAATGGACCTAAACCTACCTATTCTAGTAAGTTCAGACTTTCTGTCAGTGTTCTTATGAAGATACTTCAGGCTAAATCAGGAACAAAGATTAACTTTTCCATTTTATTAATATACAATAGGACATTTCCATATATCAAAATGGTTATTTTCTGTATCATAAAAATTAGTGCTTACCACTTCTGTAGGTCTGTAAAACTTTGGATTTATTCTAACCAGTACATCACCAGTTGCTTTATTCTTTCCTACTTCATCAACACCTGTTCCTTCCCACCTATAAATAGATAGAAATATGTTTTCTATAAATAAATGTAATTTATTTTCTATAAATAAATCTTGTTTATTTTCACCTTTACCACTCTTAAAGAAACTCCGGCCTAAAAAAATTGAATTTCTGACATAGATCAGCTTGGGGCACTTGAAAATGGAAGATATGCAAAATATAATGGAGAAATATACTCAAAAATAAATTAAAAATGGGTCAAAGACAGAAAAGGCCGGGTTGCATATGTATACAAAATATCATGAGGCTGTGATGTTACTTAAATTTTCTACCACTGTCTGACCATTGATGTTGAAAATTTAACTTAGTTGGTAAACCTGAAAAGAATGAGCATCAGACCTGAAATGGAATCCCACAATATGGGACCACAGTCATGTCAATGCTGTGAACCACATATCAAGAGGCTGTGGTAAGTAGTTGCTGAGAAAACTGTTACGAAAATTTCCTACTATCTATTGATCATTAATTATGTCAAAATTTAATGTTGAAAATTTAACTAAGTCGGCAAACAGGAAGTGGATGAGAGACAGATCTGAAATCGAATCCCACAGTATGGGACCATGTGTTGATGCTGTATACCAAATATCAAGAGGCTGTGATAAGTAGTTGCTGAGAAAACTGTTACGAAAATTTCCTACTATTGACCATTAATGTAGAAAATTTAACTAAGTCGGCAAACAGGAAGTGGATGAGCGACAGACCTGAAATCGAATCCCACAGTATGGGACCATGTGTTGATGCTGTATACCAAATATCAAGAGGCTGTGATAAGTAGTTGCTGAGAAAACTGTTACGAAAATTTCCTACTATTGACCATTAATGTTGAAAATTTAACTAAGTCGGCAAACAGGAAGTAGATGAGCGACAGACCTGAAATCGAATCCCACAGTATGGGACCATGTGTTGATGCTGTATACCAAATATCAAAAGGCTATGATAAGTAGTTGCTGAGAAAACTGTTACGAAAGTTTTTTCCCCGCCCGGACGCCCACCCACCGCCCAACATTCACCATACTATAACCCGGGTTTGCACCAGTGCAACCCCGCCAAAAATCATAAATTTGTGCTATTTTAGCCAGATTTAGATCTAAGAGAAAAAGCGTTTTTCACAAATAAAATAATTTATCCCGAAAAACGGAGTGAGCGAATGATCTGAGATTTTGCACACAAGTTTTGGTTTAGACCTACATCAAATGGAACATTAATCTCAACAAGAGGGCCATGATGGCCCTGAGGTCGCTCACCTGTATGTAGGCCCCCGGAGCGGGGCCAGTTTAAACCCCAGGGCTTTTATTTGAACAAACTCTGAAGACACCCATTAGAAGATGTTTCATGATGTACACACTTATAATGAAAAACAATGATCTGCCCTCCCCCGCCCCTGGCAGGGCCAATTTTATCCAAGGGCTTTTATTTGAACAAACTTGGTAGACACCCATAAGAAGATGTTTCATGCTAAACATCTAAGCTCTAGCTCATTGGGTTTTTAAAAGAAGATTTTTTAAGTTTTTACTATATACGTATAGTTAAAAACAATGACACCCCTGGGGCGGGGCCAGTTTTGACCCCAGGGCTTTTATTTGAACAAACTTTGTAGACACTTACTAAAACATGTTTCATGCTTAATATCTAAACTCTAGCTATTTGGGTTTTTTCATGGAAGATTTTTAAGTTTTTCCTATACACATATAAGGAAAATCAATGACCCCCGGGGCAGGGCCAATTTTGACCCCAGGGCTTTTATTTGAACAACATTTATAGACACTCACTAGAAGATGTTTCATGCTTAATATCTTAACTCTAGCTATTTAGGTTTTTTTTTTTAAAGAATACTTTTTAAGTTCTTGCTATACACATATATAAGGAAAATCAATGACCCCCGGGGCAGGGCCAGTTTTGACCCCAGGGCTTTTATTTTAACAAACTTGGTAGACACCCATTAGAAGATGTTTCATGCTAAATATCTTAGCTCTAGCTCTTTGAGTTCTTTAAAAGAAGATTTTTTAAGTTTTTACTATATACATATAGGGAAAATCAATGACCCCCTGGGGCGGGGCCAATTTTGACCCCAGGGCTTTTATTTGAACAAACTTGGTAGACACCCATTAGAACATGTTTCATGCTTAATATCTTAGCTCTAGCTCTTTGAGTTCTTTAAAAGAAGATTTTTTAAGTTTTTACTATATACATATAGGGAAAATCAATGACCCCCTGGGGCGGGGCCAAATTTGACCCCAGGGCTTTTATTTGAACAAACTTGGTAGACACTCATTAGAAGATGTTTCATGCTAAATATCTTAGCTCTAGCTCTTTTGGTTCTTTAAAAGAAGATAATTAAAGTTTTTTCTTTCGGTTGCCATGGCAACCAGAGTTCTGTATGGAATTAAATTCTTTGAACAATTTTTAAAGGTGCCCACCAAAGGAACATTCCTGTGAAGTTTGGATGAAATTGGCTTAGTGGTTTATGAGGAGATGTCATTTAAAGTAAAAGTTTACGGACAGACGCCAGACGAAAAGCGATCACAAAAGCTCACCCTGTCACTTTGTGACAGGTGAGCTAAAAACAGTATTCTCAGTCTCATCATGTCACTAAACCTCAGTGTATACACGTCCCTTTAATATCTTAATAGGTCCTGTCCATCTTGCAATCTGGACAAATGTTACTCATTTTTTGAGAGATTTTTTTTAAAAATATATACTGGTTGAGTAGTGAAACAGTGCAGACTGTGATCAGATGGCAAAGATGTGCCAGTCGATCTTGGTCGGCACTGGTTACATGGGTATTATCAGCTGACACCAAACTAAAAATTGATTAGCTTGGGTACTTAAATAGAAAAATATGCAAAAGATAAATAAGAAATATACTAGGAAATAAATTGAATATCATATTTTTGTGCAATTCTTTTCACTTAAAAAAATTCAATTTTGTGTCATATTTCACAATTAGAATAATTAATCTGAAAAAAAAAAAACAAAAAAAAACAGGAGTGAAAGAAAGATTTGAAACTTTTTGTTGCACACAAGTTATTGGTCTAGCTCTACATCAAATGGAACATTAATCTTGAAAAAATATTTCTTGTTATGTCAATATAAGTATTTACAAAATTGTCACAAAACACTAACATAAGTGTAGAGATTTACAAGCTGCACAGACATGCAATCAGACTTGGCTCTTTACTGGGTGCATCCACTTTCAGTATTACAAATAAAGCTCAACAGATAATATGAAAAAATATATGAGCCGCGTCATGACAAAACCAACATTATGGGTTTGCGATCAGCATGGATCCAGACCAGCCTGCGCATCCACGCAGTCTGATCAGGATCCATGCTGTTTGCTATGAGTTTCTCTACTTGTAATAGGGTTAATGTAAGCAAACAGCATGGATCCTGATCAGACTGCGCAGGCTGGTCTGGATCCATGCTGGTCGCAAACCCACTATGTTGGTTTTGTTATGGCACAGCTCATATAAATAAACTTGATAAACAAAAATTACTTACACAATATCTATATCAACTTTTTTAAAAGCTGCTAAAACGAATTCCCTAACACTGTGGCTCTCATTCATTGATATAACAAAATCTTCTGGCTTATCTAGTTGTAACATTAACCACATAGCCTGAAAATAGTAAAGATATTTACTCATTTCAAAACCACATAGCCTAGAATTACATTTTAATCGTATCAGAACCACAGAACCTTAAAAATGAAATATTCAATACATAATGTATAATAATGTAGCCTCGTAATTACCAACCATAAGGCTTGGGGAAATCATTATATATATTATTTTCAAGCATTTTATATAATTAACAATATATACGGAATATTATGTTGTAGTAGCTTTCCGAGGCCTTGTATTTTGCTACGAGCAGCGTAGTAAAATTGATATCTCGCGAGACCGAAGGTCAAGCAGGATATCAATTTTATACTACGCTGCTCGTAGCAATATACAAGGCCTCGGAAAGCTACTACAACATAATTTTCCTTTTATTATATACCTATAAATCTTTAAAACAAAAAGAATTCAATTTTATAACTTTTATCATTTATTTCACAATCAGAAACATATAGATATGGAGAAATAACATTTATGAACGGCGGATGAATATATCAGTTTTTCAAAAGAGGCCACGCCTCCAACACAGTTTTCTAGGAAATAGACAAATGGCCGAACCATGTCGTGTCACAATACGCCGTCACAATATCAACAAACGTTTAAAAGATAACAGTTTTTAAAAGCTAGAAATGCAACTTTTGATTTGGATTGTTCCGCTTAGTGTACATGAATTATTCACTGTCACTGTCAGATTCAATTACCGGACAAATCCTTCTTCGGCGTTTGGGACTTGGTGAAATGTCATCAGTTTTCACGGTTTTGTTAATAATTGTTATTGGACAATTCATTAGTCTTGCATTCTGAAGAATTTGACCAGTATGGGTTGAAACTAATTCAATTCCCGACATTGTACGGATATTTGATGAAACAGTTGCGTTAAATGGTGATTGTACAGGTGCTAGAATTTGACGAGGCGGACCAGTGGAATTGGTGAGTGATTGTTTACTTTGAGTTTGACACATCTGAATTGCATTTTTAAGCTTGGGAGGATTTGGGTTATGGGACAATATATCAGACATGTGTTCTTGCATTTCACATGATGCCCTGGCATAATTGTTCACACTTTGAACATTTCTATGGGCACTTAACTGTTGTATTGTAGTTGGTGCAATTCCACTATGTAATAGATCAGTGCAAGTAGTTTTCCTTGCACTGTGATTTGTTTTTTTTGCCTTGCAAACCACACTCAATAGCCATGGTTTTCATTAACGTATTGAGCGTGTGCTCACCAAGAGGCTGAGATTTATACCATTTATCTGAACCCGGAAGTCGTTTATAGTTAATACCTAAATAAAATGGCGACTCGGGCTGACACATTTCTGTTGGCCTGTGTTGTGCAAATATTTTGTAAGCATATACAGGGCAAGTTTCTAGAGTATCATGTGCAAATTGCTTTGGACTAAAATGTCGTACTTCAGTTGTTTTTTCAGCAGTACGTGTTTTTGTTAACCTTTCATTATATTCAATGTATTCCCTGCCATGATCATTTGTTTTAAGTTTAATATCCCCCCACCTAAGTTGCCTATTTTCATTTCCACCCCGAAGCCCAAACAGAACAGTATTATTTAACCATATTAAATTCAAAAGTTTTTTTGGAGAGTCAGTCCCTGTCAATCCCTTTTCCCGCAACATTTGTCTCTCGTTAACTGTCAGGGGCTCTGCAGCATTTGGACGATTACCCTTTCCCTTGCCTTTGAGCTCCTTTCGTTTTGAAGCTAAAACTTGTCGCGATGTTGAAAATTCCTTGTCAGTTATGATGCTGTGAGGATATTTATTTTCCCTGAGGCACCTAAAAGTAAATAAAAAAATATGTGTTCAAAATTGGAATGAATTTATTTAATTGATTTGAAGTTTTGCACAATTAAAAAGTCAATTAAATTGTAATCTTTTTGGATTTATGCTACATGTAGATCTATATAAATGCAAAAAAGGGTAGAATGCCTAGAATGGACTCAAAATTAGTAATTATTAATACCGAATTCGAATTTCATTTTTGAATATAAGAAAAAATTGTTTAGTATTCAATCATTATCTAAAAATAGTACAATACATATGATAATGATAAGGTGAATTGAAAGTTTGAAAAAATTTTCTTGACATAAAATTTGAAGAAATGACAAATTATGCAAAATGTTATGTCATAATATTGATTTATTATATCTTACATATGCTTTTAAATTAAACAGTGAAATAATCAAAATACAATTCAACAAATTTCAAAGTAGCCAAATGCAAATGTCACAAGAACTGTCGGAGGACAGTATTGGCTCGACTATTCAAAAATTTGTCACAAGAGTGTTTATTGAGTATAATAATGCTAGTTACCTATGAATACATAAAATTGACCGAAAAGGTACAAAGGCTTGTTATCAAGTAAATCACTGCTTTATTATTAATAATGCATAAAAATGTCCCAAAAACATACAAACTCTTCAGTAGTTATGGAGATAACAGCTTACAAGCAAAACTTTTCCATGAATTTCTAAGTTGAAAAAGGGGAGAAAAATCAGCCTAAATGCAAGATAGAATTATGGATCTTGGTCAGTGACCTACAATTAAATTCTTAATGCATATGTGAAGTTTTAAATAAATATCTTTAATATATCTTTGAGATATGTAAATCTTGCATGTAAACATTAACCTAGAGACTAAGTAGAAAAGGGGAGATGAATCAGCCTAAATGCGAGTAGAGTTATGGAACTTGGTCAGTGACATACAATTATGACTCTCCAATTATGACTCTAAGTACATGTGTAAAGTTTCAAGTAAATATCTTTGAAGACCTTTAACCAAAATTTCTAAGTTTCAAAGGGGCAAATAACTCTGCAAATATTGCAGACAGAGTTATGCAATTTTGCAAACTGATGTACATTGTTACTATAAAAAAGTATTGTAAATTTCAATTGAATATCTCAAGCAATAATTGAGATATTTGACTTTACAAAAAAACTTTAACCCAAATTTCTAAGTTATAAAGGGGCATTATTCTGTTAATATTATAGACAGAGTTGTCCAACTTGTCAATCTGATGTACATTGTTACTATAAATAAGTATTGTAAGTTTCAACTGAATATCTCAAGCAATAATTGAGATATTTGAATTTACAAAAAACTTTAACCAAAATTTCTAAGTTAAAAAGGGGCATAATTCTGTAAATATTGTAGGCAGAGTTATCCAACTTGTCAATCTGATGTACATTGTTACTATAAATAAGTATTGTAAGTTTCAATTGAATATCTCAAGCAATAATTGAGATATTTGACTTTACAAAAAACTTTAACCAAAATTTCTTAATTTAAAAAGGGGCATAATTCTGTAAATATTGTAGGCAGAGTTATCCAACTTGTCAATCTGATGTACATTGTTACTATAAATAAGTATTGTAAGTTTCAATTGAATATCTCAAGCAATAATTGAGATATTTGACTTTACAAAAAACTTTAACCAAAATTTCTAAGTTAAAAAGGGGCATAATTCTGTAAATATTGTAGGCAGAGTTATCCAACTTGTCAATCTGATGTACATTGTTACTATAAATAAGTATTGTAAGTTTCAATTGAATATCTCAAGCAATAATTGAGATATTTGACTTTACAAAAAACTTTAACCAAAATTTCTTAGTTAAAAAGGGGCATAATTCTGTCAATATTGTAGGCAGAGTTATCCAACTTGTCAATCTGATGTACATTGTTACTATAAATAAGTATTGTAAGTTTCAATTGAATATCTCAAGCAATAATTGAGATATTTGAATTTACAAAAAACTTTAACCAACGCAGACGCCGACGCGGACGCTGACGCCGACGCCGGGGCGACTACAATAGCTCTCATATTCTTCGAATAGTCGAGCTAAAAATAGTATCTTAATGGAATTGAAATTTTGCCAGAAATACATTCCTTTGTAATACAAGTAAATGCCTTTTTAATAGAGATCTAGTAGTAAAATATTCATGATTAAACTGGAAGCACATATTTAAGTTAAAATGTACAATTTTCATGATTTTTTTTAAATGTAGTGTGAAGTGTACAAAGAAAGCAAATTGCACATTGCATCTGCATTTATTATATACTTTTATCACACACCCGTGCCGATTTTACGACTCCGTAAATATGGTATTGCACGGCCGTACATATATTTTGACGTGACGTCATAAGCGTTATATAAACATAGTGTAAAGACGCGCTAAATGTTAATGTCATACTATAGGCGCGTCAATGAAAAAATGGCTCTTATTTCACTTAAAACGGTCTTTATTTTGGGTATGTGATAAATAGAATATTAAATTCGTGTAAGTTCATTACTGAATTTATTGCACTCGTTGGATAAAATAATATTATGCTCGCCAGAGGCTCGCATAATATAATTTTATTCAACTCGTGCAATAAATTCAGTATTGAACTTACACTCATTCAATATCCTCTATATAAATGAAATATTGAAAAATATAGATGAAATAAAATGCGTATTTTCATTTTTCGCATTTTCACTGTAAAAATTTATTTTTCACCACAGTAAAACATATTTTTCGTATTTTCACTGGTGTCTTGCCGGACTAATTTCTTTTAAATTCTGCCAGTACACAAAATTTCAGGGAAAGTCTTTCAAATTTTAATGTCAAAAAGAGAAAAATGTATATATAATAAACAGAAAGTTCAAGTTTTTTCTATAAATACATGATTTATTTTCATCTTGTGGCATGAAAATTACCATATTTCACTTGTGGCTAATGCACTCATGAAATATTTATTTTCATACCACTCGATGAAAATCAATCAAAATAAAAAACTTGAATATCCTCTATAAATTATCAAAAAGAGGTCAAAATATACAAAAATGTCTCTAAAATTACTGGGAAAGTCAAATCAGTGTAAGCGCACATAAAATGTAAATTATTACTTGAATTCACTTTTGTATTGTTTGAATCTTTTTAAATTTCAAGTTTGTTTTTCTTAAAATATTTTGACTCATAACAGCTTTAATTAACATAGATTATAAGATAACACATATATTTTTTTTGCCACAGGATGAATGGAAGCTGTGTCATATGAAGACCAATTATTTTAGCACTACACTCTGCAGATTGACTCATGAGTCACATAAGAATAAATGGTCACCAGTGGTAGAAGCATGAATGGAAAAAAAATACAGAACGGTTTGAATCGCTGTTTAAAAGTTTTTGATGTAAAACAAGTCTACTGTATTACCTGTCAATGCCTCTGTGGTATGAGGTGAGTGTATCAGGCTCATATTCTGACCCATCGACTTTACGAATTGACAGCAAGAATGAACCAATGAAGTTGTCAAGTTCAGCTGGTATTATATTCCAGATTTGCCTCAAATCATTTCTTGGTGGCTCAGCCAGCCAACGTTGAAACTGACGGAGACTTGTTTCAGTTTTTTTTGCAGTGTTTTTGTTTTTCATTCCTATAACAAAGTTTTCTTTTTCTGCATCAGTTATGTTGAGGAAGGTTGGATTGTTAGTATTTGATTTGCCACAGTTTAGCTCACCAACAAGATTTTCTGGACACTGTGTGGTACAATTCAAAGTTTCAGTGATGATTGGATTAACTTTATTTATATTACCAGTGTCATGCTGAACTGGATCAGAATGATGATGTAGATCTATGAGGGAGTTGGCTATGTCAACACTCAGTTCACTGGCATGGTCAGTTTGGGAAACCTCCTCCTCAAAATCAAAGCCAAACAATTCATCAGATTGTTCAACAACATCAAAATACCCATTCTGAGTTAGGGTTAATAGGTCCAAGTCATCATCAAACAAATCGTCGGACATTTTTAACAGATAGAGCTCCGTTACGTTTTACCATTGACAGTAACGCCCACTACATGTATATAGTACAGTTGCAGACGGTCTATAAAATCACGAACACTTTTTTAACGCAAACGTTATTTGTGTATATTAAACAGGTTTTGAAATTTGGACAAAATTATAGGTTTTTTACATTTGAAATGTTGAAAAAAGTGAATAAAACTCGGTAAAAAATGATTGTTTATATATTTTGACAGCGGAATTTCGTTACTAAATATAGCAATGGATTCCCCGCAAAGTGCTCTTTGCAGTATTGGTTCCCGTTTCAATACACCACGTAACGCAAATAAAAGGCGGGGACCAAACCAAAAAATAGTCCGGCACTTCCATATATGGAACCGTATTTGTCACTAACATAATACGGAAATTTCTATCCGTCGAAGCGTATTTGCGCTTCAAGATTTGCGTGTATTTTAGGGAGAAAATTTATAGGTATATAATAAATACGGAATATTATGTTGTAGTAGCTTTCTGAGGCTTTGTATTTTTCTACAAGCAGCGGTGGAAAATTGATATCTTGCGAGACCGAAGGTCGAGCGAGATATCAATTTTCCAACGTTGCGAGTAGAAAAATACATAGTCTCAGAAAGCTACTATAACATAATTTTCCTTTTATTATATACCTTTTCGTTTTATTCAGAAAATGAAATGTAGTTGTCAAGAAATAAATTCATGACTGACGGATGAATACGTAATTCTTGCAAACCGGCCACGCCTTTAATAATTTTGGTTCCCGTTTCCAAATGCAACGTTATACAAAGCTAAGATCGGAACCAACGTCAAAAATAGTCCGGCACTTCCATATATGGTACCGTATTTGTCACTAACATAATACGGAAATTTCTATCCGTTGAAGCGTATTTGCGCTTCAATATTTGCGTGTAATTTAGGGAGAAATTTTATAGGTATATAATAAAACACAATATATGTTATGATGAATAAGAATAAGAATTGACTTTTTAATAGACCTATACCATGTATACCATGCTTATATCATGCCATTGATGTTATGTAACTGCTGATTTATTATTACTGTATTCTGATGGGAATACTGCCTTTGTATGAATAAAGTTTATCTTTATTGCAGTATGTCTGTAAATATCGCACTTAATCGCAATATGCTTACTCTTTGCAATACCCAACCATTCTATTTTGTTACACATTTTAACTGTATCTTACAGATAAAGGGAGACAACTTAACATGAAATAAAAATTGGATTTAGCTCAATACAGGATTGGAGAAGTACCTCTAGACGCTTGCAGAAATCATGATCACAAAATAGACAAATATCGTTTTTTTCGCTGATTTTAACATTTTTCATGCATTATCATACACAAATCAGTGTGAAAAGATGAATAAGACCTATTAAAGTTCATTCCGTTGCGTAAAAAAGCAGCAAGACTTTGGCATTTTACGATTCAAGCGCCTTGTCCGGTATATACCGGAATACGGTATTTAGTGTGGTGCTCCAATCCTTTATTTAGTCTCACTCATAAAAATTTAGTTATGCAAGGGAAGTAATTCAGATCAAATTGCTATATCACACAATCAAGAGTTACTCTTCTTTGATCTTTTTGTCAAAATAAGGAAAAACTGCAAATTAATGTAAAACAAGAAGGCAATGATATGCAATGATAGCCCTGTATCACTAACCAGGATAAATATTAAGTTTTTTTCACAATATGATCAAAAGTTTGGCAAACTAGGTTCAACAGGACTTATAACCATTGATAAAATATATTCCTAGAAATAAATCAAATAAGTAAACATCATTAGCATTATGTGACATAGGATGGGAAGGTGAACAGGGATAGAGTATTTATATATTTCTTTTACAATGTAATAACTGGAGTACTGTCTTTATTTCAGTACTTCGCAATGATAAGTACAAATCCCTTTTTACAAGTACCTGTACTTATTGTGGTACTGAGTAAAAAAATACAATTTGAGCCGCGTCATGATAAAACCAACATAATGGGTTTGCGACCAGTATGGATCCATGCTGTTCGCTTACGAACCATAAAACAAGATGAGAAACTGATAGCGAACAGCATGGATCCTGATCAGACTGCATGGATGCGCAGGCTGGTATGGATCCATGCTGGTGGCAAACCCATTATGATGGTTTTGTCATGACGCGGCTCATTTGTTTCAAAAGAGAATGGGTTGGATTTTCAGGCATATCAACACTGTTAAGGTCATGTGACAATTCACCATTGACAGTGGGGGGGAGATAACATAAGGAGCACTACTGTGTATTATTTTAGACACAATTAGGAATCCAAACAAAAACGCCATTTTTTCTGTAATCTAACAAGAATGCTTCCTTCCATGAACCTTTAGCTGCAAAAGATTAGCAACTTGAATTTGATTAAATGAACCATTCAGCATCATTGCCTCCTTGTTATGATTCAGTTGAAGTCACTATGACAAGAGCACAACATGCCATTTTAACACATGTCTACTAAGGGCAATAACCAAATTTGACAAAAAGTTCAAAAGCGGCATTACTCCAGAAATAAAGCTTTCAGAATTATGCCCCTTGCATATCAACTGCACCTTGAAAGGATCATAAAGTTTTCAAAATTTCATGTTTGTAACTTTTTGCACAATGACAAAAATAACATGCTGCAATCATAATAGCTCAACTATTTCTTCAAAACAGACAAGCTGAAAACTACTCAATGAAAGGGAATAATGTCTTTTCAGAAGATTATCTTCCTTTCCTGAATCTGAAATAGAAGATTTTAGAAAGAACAACTTCATACTTACTTCAACATAATCTTTAGCATGGCCCCAATCTCTCATAGAATCTAAGTTCCCTAACTCTAGCACCTTTTGTTGACCTAGAGTTATCTTAGCTACAGCCCTAGTTATCTTTCTTGTTACAAAAGTCTCTCCTGAAATACAGCAGTAACTCAATCAAAATCGAAACAACATGCTGGATATTTAACATATTACCAGAAATATCTTTGGAGTTTGAAAACTACCTGACTGATAACTGAAGACAATTTGGTTGAAACTTATGAATATATACAATGACATCAAAAAGCTTGTTACAGGAATAAGAAAGACATGAAGAAAATGCAAAGTAAAATTTATTGTTTTATATAACATATGCAGTTTTTTTTTGTTTTGTTATTTCAAAATCAAACAAATTTACTCTCATGTATGAAATACACATTTTATTTCTCCTTTTGGTCATAAAAAAATAATAAAAAATTTAGATTATATTTCATGCACTTGAAATAAAAGCACAGACTTGAAACTGTCTTAACTAATTTCCTACTTAATGATTTTAAATGTGAACTGTTAACTGAATTATTATTACCTCTTCTTGGGCTCTCATGGTTAAAGAGTATACCATTACATGCAAACATATTGTAGGCCTCCCTATAGTTGACTACAATCCAGTATCCATATACTTTAGCCACACCTACATAGAAGAAAGAAATCATGGTAAGACCCATAGTGTTGACATGACTAAATTCCTGTCTTAACTATTAACCTGCTAAATTTCTTAAATGGACTTGCCCAACTTTCATTTCTCAGACTGTCCATGATAAATTTTGGGGATATCAATATGAAAATTAAAATTTCTGCTGAGAGGAGTGTCAAACCTGCGCTCAGCTCTGCAGATCGTCTTATTATGGTTAACATTTTTGGCAATTTAACTAGTAGTTTTAATTTCCTTCCATCAGTTCAAGACATGCAGACCAGATACGAAAACAGCTCACAGAAGTATGAACAAGTGACCGAATTGGGATAAAGGGCCATTTTTCTCTTTTTTCTTTCTTATGTTTAATAGAGGGCCGTTAACTCCTTTCTCTATTTTTGTGCAATGAACTCCATAAATGTTCTCTTTTGTTCTGTTTACTGTTAGATAGCCCCCTATCCTTATAAGGTAGTAGGGATGATGACCAGTTGCAAAACATTATCAGCAGAAATTTTTATCGAGGGTATAAAAAAAACCTACTTCCTTAATTTTATATGAAATATCGATTTTTGCTACATCCAACATGTACATATCTTGTTGCTAGACAGGCAGATCAATTTTATAACTTACGTAAATTTATACCATTCTAGCTAATGTACATTATTGTATTGATGACGTTAATCAATCAAAACATATTTACATTTTACAATACTATGTAACAGATGTTTTTGGATATCTATATTGATTCAAAAAATACAATATAGACAACATGAACAAGTAAAATTACCTTTTATCATATATCTATGTTTGAAACTTATAATAAGCTCTGCATTTAACCATGTATATATAAGCCGCATCACAACAAAACCAACATTATGCGTTTGCGACCAGCATGGATCCAGACCAGCCTGCGCGTCCGCGCAGTCTGATCAGGATCCATGCTGTTCGCTTACAAACTCTACTACAAGTAGAGAAACTGATAGGGAACAGCATGGATCCTGATCAGACTGGGTGGACGCGCAGACTGGTCTCGATCCATGCTGGTCACAAACCTATTATGTTGGTTTTGTTGTGACGAGGCTCATATATCTGTGAATAAAGCATCGCTTATTATATTGGTAATGTGAAAATTACAGTCACTTATGACCAACATATTATATTACACAGATTCAGCGTTACTTTTTCCCAGTTCCTGCGTTATTTTCACATTCTTGCGTTACTGGATATACACAGTTATTTATAAATGTTTAAATTAAATTGTAAATTCTAGGTTCCGACTATAAGTCTTGTATATTGTAACAATAAAATGGCAATCACATAGCTTTTACACATTATCAACTAATTAGACAAACCTGGTTTACTAAACTTATTTGTTATTTTTTTTGTTTGTTGGGTTTTACATCACAATAGCCAGTACAGGTCATATGGTGACTTTCGAGCTTAACTGGTGAAAGAAGACCTCAGGTGCTCCAGTGTGCATTGTTTCAGGCATAAGAAAGCACCTGAACAGAACCATCAACGTTCTGTAAGCTGGCAAGATAGCTTCCTCACATGAAAGAATCTAAAAGTCCTTGATGGAATTTGAACCTACAGCTATGAGAGGCAAGTGATTAGAGGTCAACAACCTTAACCATTTGGTCAGAGCAGCACCATTTGTTCAACTGATATACCAGGCAAGAATGACATGTTGAAAGTCATCCAAAGTTTAATTTGAAGACGTTCCATTAAAAAGATTCTTCTTTTAAGTTAGCTCTGCAAACCATTTTGCTTTGTGCACTAGAACAATTTCAGACATTTTTGTTCAGTACAATTGAAGGATCATTCCTAGTAAGTTTCGTCAAAAATGCCCGGACATTGAGCAGGAAATGTCTTTTAAAGCTTATTTCTATATTTAACTATGGCAGACATCTTTTTCGGTGATCTGAAACAATATCCATCTCTTTTTCAAAGGACTACTCAAAGTTCATTCCTGTACTAATTCATAAACGCAAAACACTGAAACCATTAAGGCACTAATAAGCATACCATATGGAGATCTAGGATAGAATGGAGTTGTCTCTTTCTGTGGGATTTCTTGAACCTTTCCAAACATTTCACTGGTTGACGCCTGGTAGAACTTCACCTGGTCCGACATACCACATGTTCTGATGGCGTCAAGTAGACGTAGAGTACCGAGGGCATCTACGTTAGCTGTGTATTCCGCAAGCTCGAACGATACCTTAGAAAGTAAAACATTTAGGTTTTCATTCACTTAATCAGCCTGGATTCAACAAAAATCAAAATATTTGGAAAAGATACAACAATTATACACGTATATTATACTTTAATCATTATGTTTTGTGTGTGATGGACTTCCCAAACTTTCAGACTGGCACTGAATAATGTTAATATATCAACACAAGTTCTTATTATAAAACTGCTAAAATTAAGGAACCTGTCACAGGTATGCAGGTTGCCCATGTTCAGTAAAATGTGCTACAAGAGTTAAAGGGACTCAACTGAGACTTTTTTACCCTAAGGGACTAGAAATACTTTTCCGAGATTTGTGTATTTTGTAATGAAGAACTAAATCAATAACTTGCGTGATCCCCACACCCCGTTTTCCAGAATAATTATTTTTCTTGTTCAAAATGATTATATTTACAGGTAAAAACCATTGCAATGATTTTGGCTACAAATAGCACTAACTATCGATTTTCAATTTAAATTCTGAGAATATTTCTTTATTTCTATTGCAGAATTTTCCATTCTGAGTGCTACACTTGATCAATGTTTTTATGTTTTAAGGCTTTTTGACCTCAGTGAAGCTTCCTTTCATCTATTTTTCAGATTATGACAATCAGCATCATATCACTTTCTGACTATACATCATGATATTTATCAAAAACTAAAATCTCCTTCTCTCATTTATTAAGGGACAATGAACTGTCTGCATAACAAAGAGACAGAATACAGGCCTATTCCCCAATGTTGAAAAAAATTCCCAACATATTCTTATTAATTCCCAAAAATTGAGAATATTTCTGCCCACTAGCTTAACTTCATAGGCTCATATGACATTCTATAAAAAGCAAAGTTTATATGTTTCTTATCTCTCGACTAAAACATATATTTTGAAAAAGTTTCGATAAAATTTTCCCAATTTTGTATTAAGAAGGATGCTCAATTTTCCCAGTTTAAATTAAAGGCTGGCCGTCATAAAAAAAAAATTGGAAAAAGTAAAAGGAAAAAAAGCCAATCACTGAAGGATTTAATTAAGCAAAAATCTGACAAGACTTCTGGCATTATTTACTAGGGATTACATTACAACAATTGATTTAAACAATCCCTAACTTCAGACATTCAGACAACTCCTCAAGTATTGCAACAGCTTGGCAAGTCAACATTTAATATGAAACTCATCCCTTTAGTCAATATAAAAAACACAAGTTTACATTGTTACTGACATTTTTTTTGGTATTTTTCTCGTTTCAAAATATTCTTAACAAGAGCTGTCAATTGGGCAGTACGCCCAAGTGATAGTATAACAAGAGCCTGGAGAATGTAAGAATTAACAAAGATGAAGATTTCATTCACAAAATTAAAAAAAAGCACATGACAAAGTTATGAGTCTTGGATATTGACCAACAAATTTAGTAAAAGACGTTTTCTGGAGTTTTCAGATAGGCAAAAAATTAAAACTGTTCAATAGAATTTCTTTAAACTTGGCATGTTATTAGAATATGAAAACAGAAACATTTTAAACAGAAAAAATTGGGGTCACCATCCTCATTTTCGAGTTATCTGCCCTTGAATTGGACTTTTTTGTTAAATTCAAGGGCAGATAATTTACAATGAAGAGAAACAATACTTTTTTTTCTTCTTATTTTCATGAACCTAACCTTCGTCTTAGTCAATATGCAAAATTTCAAATTTCAAGAACAAATTTAGAGTGGATAGTTTTTTTTCCCCCACTTCTTCTCTTAACCTGTGCATTTTTTTCTTAAAAATTGGCCTATTTTTTATGAATTTAAAGTACCTTTATTTTTATTGAAAAAAAATAACAGAAACCATATAAGGAATTGCATGTAATTATGTTTTGTATTCAACAATAAAAAGAAAAACATTATCCAGAAGTAAAACAAGAATTTATTTACATATGTTTAAGTTATCTGCCCTTTAAATGACCTCAAATAAGTAAAAAATTCTGATTCAGGGGCAGATTACTCAAAATTGAGAATGGTGACCCCAATTTTCTTTTCACTTAAAATATTTCTGTTATCATATTTTAACAACATGCCAAGTTTAAAGAAATTCTATAGAACAGTTTTAATTTTGCCTATGTCTATATGAAAACTCCCGAAAATGTCCTTAAGTTCACAAAGCGCCTTTAATGCATTTAAAATAATGTTGCATGATTGATCTTCCATGTAACACTTATCCAAGAATTTTTTCAGTTCAAAAAATCCAATTATGAATTCAGTTAAAGTCCATGCTAGAGTTATAGGCCATGGACAGTAACATCCAATTATGATATGGATGAAATGTATTCAATTTCATGTGAATACCTTCAGATGTTTTAAATATTTATGTTACATGCAAAACTTTAACTAAAATATGGCACCAAAACAAGAAAGATGATTTTGGCTTATCTAAGGTGTTACAAAATTAAAAGCAACACCAGGGGTCAATAACACCACACATGCTGGAGCTAAGAGATGCAGTTATTCAAAACCCATTTAGTTGCTTCTTTCAATCACGCAGGGATAAACGGTGACTTAATTCTTATACCTCAACCATTAAGGGCTACCCCTCAGCCACAATGGAGCGAATGATCTGATACTTAAGCCTCAAAGCATAATAAATGTCTGCTGACTTTTTACAGTCCCCGATATAATTTTGCTCAAAGGTCAGTTATGCGTATACAAACCTTGACATGACTCTGAGCTCCAAGGTTATAAATCTCCGTTGGTCGCACTTGACTTATAATTTTCACTAAACATGTACTGTCTGTTAAATCACCATAATGAAGATGCATGGCTGAAAATCAATTAAAATAATGAAAATTTAATGTCTAAATTTATAAGTACAAGTATTAAATTATGCATGATTTGTAACAATGTTTGGAATACTTAATATCTTCTATGGTAGGCATTAAATTTTACCTTACCAATGCTAAGAAGTGTAATATTATTACTTCTGTGTAAGTATTAACCTGTTATTAAACAGGACACTTGCAACTACAGCCATCCTCATAAATATACACATGTACATTAAACAACCTTATTAACTGCTGTAAAGTTACTGGCATGAGAGCAGTTCCTGTACAAAAATCGTAGTTACTTAAAAATTATTTTTTATCACACTCACTCATCAAAAAATTGAATGTTACACATCAATATTGACAACGGCTTGTCACACAAATTATGGAAATTCCATTTTGTTCTAAACATAGAATAACCCTAGTTATGAGGCTTCATATGGGGTACCGAATTATCCATTATTTTGTATGAAGAGAAGTAGTTCCCATACATAAAATATAAGCCATTATAATTATACAATGTTATTATATCAGACATATTTTTCATCAATTGTTGAAGAGACCATTTTCCCAGAGGTAGGTGGATGCAATTAATGATATAGAGTCTAGACTTAACGCTGGACTATCTTTAAACCGGTACCCCAACTCAATCACATGCAATGGCATGCTTTAATGCATGATATTTTACTTATTACAGCCATAAAATTATTTAATATAATAATATAGGTCAAAATTCTGATCATTAAACAGGTTTTCATCACATTGCCTTCTTATCTGTACACAGGTGGTATTAGTGGAAAACCCTTTCACAGGCCTCACATGTAAGTATTTTTGCGCATGCGCACAAGGACGGAATCTCCCAAAGGTAACAAGGTTACGTTTTCACAACGCACAGGTGAAAGTGATTTAAAATGAAAACTTTTTATACAAACTGCTGAACACACTTATATTTTCTCTCGTATATGCATCTGCTTGATTTGATATCAATTTTTGAAGGATGCAAGTAAAAATCAAGCGGTTAAACGAAAAATACGGGTACTGTTTCTGTACGGGAACTGCTCGCATGCCAGTAGTAACTTTAAAAATTATGGACCGGACACAAAACATACTCTCCATCAGACAATGCTGGCCTTTGATCTCTATGTTGACCTTTGATCTTCAAATGTGACCTTCACCTTGAAGGTAGAGGTCTGGGTGTCTTGCACAGCACATTGTCTTATTTTTGCATAGAAAATTCTTGCTTATCCATTAACAGTGCAAAGACGGGTATTTAAGTTCTTTGTCCACCATCATAACTTGACAGTCGGTGTATCATTATGATATATGCACATAATAAGTCTGATATAAAAAGTTTGAATAAAAGAATTTGGATGACTGGATGAACCGATTTAAACAACACACTTACATCCACCACTATGGGCAGCTTTGTTTGTGTACAGATGCTCTATCCTTCCAGTGTTGAATGAACTTGACCTTCTAATAATACCATGTACCTGAAATACAAACACTCATAAATATTTTTATACTTGTTGGCCCTTAAAGTGTATCATATTATGTTTGGTGAAAACAGTAAAATTATGTTGTTTTCATAACATAATGGTAGATTCTTGAAAGATCTGTAACATAGAATGTCTATGTTATTTAATATACTATGTACATGATTATTGTACATGAACAGAATAAAATGTTCCGGAACAAAATATTTTCACTGCTAAATTTACAGGGTTTAGCGATGATTTCTCGCATGTCCAATGCGCTTTCAGCTTTCAACAAATTTCTTTAATTGTAGGTAGTGTAATCATTTTTATCACAATATAAACAGTAATTTTACAATTCACAGACCACAAATTTATAGCTTTTTACACTTTAACATGCTGGATCTGGAAATTATTAACCATCGGTAAAGGACCGATAAGGCTAGCCTTAATTTATGTACAGTCTGCCCAGGCACTTTACTGTTGGTAGCTTAAAATCTCTCAAACTTTGCGTAAACCATTCCATATTATACAAAGCTGGGCAAATCAATATATGAGCCGTGCCATGACAAAACCAACGTAGTGCGTTTTCTACCAGCATCTGCGCAGTCTGTCAGGATCCATACTGTTTGCTTACAAGCCCTATTACAAGAAGAGATGCTGATAGCGAACAGCATGGATTCTGATCAGACTGTGCGGATGCGCAGGCTGGTCTGTGGATCCATACTGGTTGCAAACGCACTATGTTTGTTTTGTCCTGGCGTGGCTCATATAATTTCACCAGGTAATGTATAAAATCAATTTTTATATGATTTATATAATTTATATAATAAATCCTCATTTCCAGTTGAATATCTTGAGTTGATAATTTGAAATTCAAAAGTAAACATCTTGAAACTTTGCAAATCAAGCGTATCTCATAAATCTAAAATCTTTATATAATATTTTTAATAAAATGCCCTTTAAAATGATCAAGTTGGATAAAAACAAGAACTATCAGTGAGCAGTGACATGCTCTTTCTTTTCCCAGTGCTTGATTATAAGTGAAGTTTCTGTTTAAACCCCTCCAAGGTAATAAATATGTACTTGCAAGCAAAATGGTTAAACCTTGAGTAAAATAGCCCCAATGTTTTAATATCAATTTATAAAATTTGAAACAGGACACTTAGGATATTTTTAAACTAAAATAAACTATAAATTGACCCTAAAATGACGACTTTGTTCAAATAAATCTTATATCTGATTGAGTTTATACAGATATTTGTAAAATTTTCTTCTTGAAACTCAGCCATGCAATGAATAAAACAATGTCCTTTTTTTAACCCTATCATTTAACCTGCTTGGACAAGAAACGATTAGCCAAACATTTGCCACCTGTGCAGTCAGGCACATCCAGGCAGTCTGAACAGATTCTTATACAGTTGGTTAAAACATATTTTTTATCAAGTGGCAATGCTACACAAAATACAGAAAATTTATACAATATCATGATAAAGTGAACTTAAAGCTAAATTCTCTCCACAGTTGGCTGCCTTTTAATCTTGGTATCCCCGAAATTGAAAATGGACAGTTCTAGAATGGAAGCTGGAAGAGTCCATCCAAGAACAAGAGCTGTCCGTAAGACAGCGCGCTCGACTTTTTTATTGCTTGCCAATAAAAAAAGTTTTTGCAGTAAAAGGCAATACAAGAATCTCTGTATTTTTAAAGTGAACTAGTTGTTTGATACCCTTGAATATTACAGCAATGTTTATATGACATAATTTATGGTAAAGTGAACAAGTGGATAGGAATGAATTTTTTTAGATTTTTTAAGTTTTTTAGTGCTTGCCTATAATACAAACATTGACAGTTAAGGGCCATAATTCAAATAAAATCTTTGACAGAATTACCTTCTCCTGGACATGTTTGGGAATCATGATTGTAAACAAGTATTCCAACTTTCAAATTAATATCTCAAACAGTTCAGTCAAAAAGTGGACTGGTACTAAAAACTTAACCAAGATTCTAAGTCGATAAAAGGCCTTAATTTTTAAAACAAATCCTTGACAGAGTTACCTTCTCTTGCGTACAGATGGGGGTAATGATGTGAAATAGCATTAAAAGTTTCAAAGCAATATCTCAAAGGGTTAAGGCAATAAGTGGATTTTACCCATATTCAATGTATTTTCTAAGTCAAAAAGGGGCATAATTCTGTCAAAAACCTTGACAGAGTTATGTCCTCTTGTCTCTTGATGAAGGTCGTGATGGTAAAAACAAGTATGGTCAGTTTCAAAGCAATACCTCCAATGGTTTTGAAATAAAGTGAGGTGGTACAAAAAACTTAACCAAGCTCAATACACTTTCTAAGTCAAAAAAGGGCCATAATTCTGTCAAAAACCTTGACAGAGTTATGTACTCTTGTCTGTAGATGGAGGTTATGATGGTGAACAAGTATGGTAAGTTTCAAAGCCATACTTGTAATACTTCTGAAATAAAGTGGGGTGGTACGAAAAACTTAACCAAGGTGTGACGCCAACGCCGACGCCGACGCCGGGGCGAGTAGGATAGCTCCCCTTTTCATAGAAAAGTCGAGCTAAAAACAGCAGGTTAAGATTGAAAAATGATAAGCCTCTGTTTGCATAAGTACTGAGCCAGGATAGCATTGCTCATCCATGTGGCCTGCTTAGGCTCTATACTGCTAGTAAATAAAATACTTTATTTTGATACTGAAAACTCTTTAAACTTCAAATGGACTCTTCAAAATTCAAAGCTAGGCAAATACATTTTTGAAATTCAGCTAAATAAGGGCAGAACTTAAAAGACCTTGTGACATTGTATTATAATTCTAAACACAATAAGACACCTTAGTGCAGTAACAGGTTAACTCCTTGTAAAATTTAATAGGAGTTAACCCGAGTTAGTGCACTTATGTGACAATATGTGAATCTTACAGGTACATGTACATACATGCTAGTGTATTAAGTCAAGGTAAAATTATATAACTCAATTTGGATTTTTTTTTTCTACAAAGTTCTTACCTCATATCCCTTCTTGATCAGAAGCTCGGCTAAATACGAACCATCCTAAAATATAAATTGATAAATTGACATAAATCACATAATATGTTCAAATTTCAGGTTTCATGTTTTCACAAATACTGCAGTGAACTTTTCATCTGTTTTTTATATCTAACTTAACCTTTTTGCACATGGTTGAAGAGATGTTTCTTTGATCTATTTTATTCTATCACCTATAATTCACTATACAATAAAATTAATTTCTGAATGTCTAAATTCTTTTTTTAGATAGGTTAAAATGCCTTGTTTGTTTAAATAGTGTGTTCCAAAGACCTTAACTTAAAAAATCTCACAATTTACTAAAAACCTTGATCTACATAGAAAACAAAAACATTCCCCGCAATTCCACATTTTCAAAGAGACATAATTCAGAAATAATGAAAGGCAGAATTACATAACTTGTCCCTGTATGTTTTCTCACACTCTGGGAACATGACACAACCCAATGAAATTGGTAATATTTTAAGATATTTTAGACAAAATGGGAAAAATGACAACGTATTAATTGTATGCATCAAATTCTCCCTCATCCCTAAGAAATTAACATATTACATAATAACATACGTTTAATTCTACATCAGTCATTGATCAACGTATTTATCCCTATGTTCGCATAAGGATTAACACGCTAGACATACCTAATTCAAATCTCGAGAAAACCCTTCGCTACTCCTTCATTTGTACATGCGTACCTTAATTTACAGCATAATATGTAAATGAGCGAACATTGTTCAATATAATATATACATTTTGTATAATCTGAGGTGTTGAAAGAACCTTTTGAAATGAAATTTAAAGGTAGATTAAATATTAGGTTGGCTCCCTTTTATCTGTGTATAACTTATTCTCCTTACTTTGAAGGGCGTATCTCCAGTTTATTGCAAAATCATTGGTATGGAAATTTTTCTATTAATTCACAAGCATGGAAAATAGTCTGATTGCGATCAGAAGTCATAATTTACACATAGTTTACCTGAGCAAACTTTAATAAAATCTAAATATCTACATTTTAGTATCGTAAGTTTTGATTCTTTAATATACACACCATGACACAGTGCTTTTACCTTATTTAAGGAATGGTGGCCTGGGCCCATATATAGAGAGGGGAAAATCAGATGTTTTGTAGGGGAAGATTTAGAAATGGAGAAAACGGTCCATTTAAGTTAAAATGTGATACAATTACTTTTAGGACTATTAACTATAACAAAATACAATATATCCAGACTGAGACTGTCTGACTATTGGGGGGGGGGGGGATGGGGGGTAGGGGAAACTTTTTTGGGGCAGGTGGGTGAATGTACATTGTTAATTTAAGAACAATGCAGTCTTTTTTGACTCTGAAATAATTTTATTGGTATTTAATTTTACATTTTCTAGATTTATTTGTCTAACAAAATCATATCTTAATTGCATACATAAAATTAAATCAGAATATGTATCTATTTTGACATGTTTTTCATATATAAATAAGTATTCAATTTACACCAATTGGGATTCAAATTTAAACTAAAGTATTAAAGAGCATAAAGCTATATTTGATGAAAAGTTTTTGTAAAAGTTCAAAACACTACAAAAACATTGTTTTTTATAAATTATTCTTATGCTAATTTCTCGGAAAAGTAATTTCTCGAAAACGTTGTAACATGCAGGCAATGTATGTGTTATTCAAAACACATGCATGTTGTTTATAAAAACAGATTAAAACATTCCGGAGCAATAACATTCCCCTTCTAATACTGTTGTTTTACCAATTATTTGTTGCATGTTCCACTCAATTTTTAAATGAAATATACAGCTAAATTTGTTTTAGTCTATGTATTCTGTAGCTTTTTTAATTGTGATAACTATAAACAATATTTTTGCGATCAAATGTCACCTCAAATATAAATCTTTTTTAATATTTATGTATATAGTCAATTAACAATTATTACAATAATATAAATTAATAATAACTCTAATATTCCATACCTGGCCAGTAACACCCGTTACCAGAGCAATTTTACGATCATCCATATTTTGCTAATATTCCTTAATATGTATTCTTTATATCAATCAAACAGACGTGCTTTCTCTGTAAAACCAACTTTGCCTTAATCAACAGCTGTATTTAAATAGGATATTACCAATAAAAGTACTTAATCCAGCGCAAGAATTGTTTTCCTTTGCAATCCTGTTTAGTGTTAATATTTATTCGTCAGAAAGTTATTTCATATGCCCGTTTAATCAGAGACAATGTAACTTTTGACTTTTTTGTTTTTTCCTTTGATTATTTCCTTTCTTCAATTTTTTTCTCAGTCAGTCACAGTGCTATATAAGCTCACATATGAAACAAACAATTCCTATTGTCTTAATCACATAACATTAAAATCTATACCCCCTTTTCTGTGTGACACGTCGTATGTAAATGAAGTCAATTTAGGATGATATTTTTTCCTCTATCTTTCTGTAAATACATAAATAGTGGCTTTTTTATCCATAAATATTAATACACATTCCCAATATTAGTTATCAATACAGTCAACATCTGTTCTTAATTTAATATTGTCGTTGTAACGTGTTTTCTACTTCAGATATTTAATATCATACAAGTTATGTACATGCGCACTATTATAGCTCTTCAAACGTTACCTCTTTTGAATATTTTCACCAATATTATGACACAAACTTGAAATTTTCACATAAACTTGAAATCATCCCGTAAAATTTTACTCTCTTGCTATTCACCACAGTATAAATTTGTTCACAAAAATTTGTGATTAAAAAAAAAACAAGATCCTATCCAAATGAACACAAAGTGAAATGTGAATACTTAGGGAAATAAAATAAATACAAAAGTTAAGAGTTTAGATCCTTTTTATAAAACATGAAGTCAGGTTACACGTAAGCACCTTCGTACGAATTATTGGTAATGACAAATTTTCTATCGTCAAGCTTCAACGAAAATCATATTTTCAACATTATGAGTTCATATATTGCATGCATGAAATACTGTTTTGAATTATCCTAATACTTTAACACTGCGTATTCTACCTTAACCAAAAAATGTACATGCAATAGATCACTTAAATAATTACGCAAAAGGGCACTGTTTTCATTCAATATCTTTTTTAAGACCCGGCTTTTTTAACAGTGATATACATACAGTACATTTTTTTCCCCTACAGAAACAGTTAAACGGGGCAGTCTTAGCTAAAGTTGTGATCTTTATTTGAAAACCTATACATTCTTTCATGAAACATTAATGAGCCATTCAGCCCTTATGAGAAAATTCACCCAGATCCTTTGATGATAACAAAATTTGACATCCCCAGTATAATATCACATCGGGTTAAAGTCTGTTTAGGGCAAAAACTAGTGTGGTTTTTTTTTTTTGCAAGGGAGACAACTTTTATCTACACACATCAAATTATTGAAATACTGCCTGAACAGTGAACACTGTCCCTTTTTTTAAAAGTTTTAAAATCATTAAATTCTAATATTTAAAGGGACTCCACTGAGGTTTAAAAGCCTAAAATCATAACATTTGAATTTCTTATATAAATGACAAATAGAAATATAAAAAGAAATATATGCAGAGAAACTTAAGAAATATACTTTGAAATAAATTGAAAATCGTATTTTTATGCTCTTCTTAACCCGATTTGAGTGAAAAGCGTTTAAACGCTTTTCATTTGGGTCATTTTTTACAATTTGAATAAGTATTCTGAAAAAACGAAGTGCACGAATGATCTGAAATTTTGCAAAAAAATTAGTGGTCTAAACCTACTTCAAATGGTCAATTGATCAAGAAAAAATATTTTCAGTCCCATCATGTCAAAAAACCTCAGTGGAGTTCCTTTAAGAAGAAAACAATAAGATATAAAAAATACTTTTTACAAAGAATTGTTTAAATATGCATTTGAAAAACACAGATAAAAAAGCCCTATAAACTTTAAAAAGAACTTTTACATATTATTAAATGTATTATGTTTGTAGCATATTATGATCAACATCTGTTAGACTGTTACAATATACATGTATAACTAATCTAAATGAAGCTTGTAAGTATTTTATGGGTTAGAGTTAAGCCATTATAATATAACAGGCTTCGCGAAAGTTGCCGGACCGTCGGACATGTCCGAGAAAAATCAGGCCGGTCCGATATTTTTTTCCGAGTTCCGGACCTTATGTCCGGTATGAATACCGTTTCATTTTTAGTGTCCAATCAAATTCTAGATACATACAACTTTTGATGATCTTGTACTCGGGACCCGAAAATGTCGGTGTTACTGCATTATTAAATTATTACGTTGGCGCTACGCCAGGCAAAAAACGTAAATTATCTAATGAAGGAAAAAAGCGAAACAAAAGAAATACGAGTCCAGGCGCCTGCCGAGAAATTTGTGGGTAAATGGAAAATGGCCGCTTGTGGTTGGTTTTTAACCGAGGAAGAAAATAAGATGAAATGTAGATTTACATTTGTGTCCATAAAATTTTATAAAGATCATATGATGATGATAATTTTGATCATGAATGTTTAAATTTCCAGACAGAGTCCATCAATCTGGATAAACTGATGTTTTATTTAAGAGAATAAAATTGTGTTGCAAATCTTTAAAAAATCCTATGTCTTTAAAAAAACACAAAGGTATTACCATATACATATAATTGGGAAAAAAATTCGGTCAGACAAAAGTTCTTTCGGTCAGACAAGAATTGAAAGTTTGTCTGACCAAATGTCAGGCAAATGTTTCAGCAGTTTCGCGAAGCCTGATATAAATACCATTCAACAGTATAACTTTAGCTTCCCTCCTTTGAGTACCTAACATGTCTTGGTTTTACCATAGTTAATATCACTATTAATATATTATTTTAAAATAAGGAGCCATCGTAAAAAAATGTTATGGAGTCTAGAATAACAGGCTGACCCAGTACAACTCTACATATATATACCAAAAGTATAATATCATTGGCAACTTAGTATTGCCACAAAGGTTTAAAAAAACACAATTTTTTTTATCTGTCTGACAAATTTATTCAAATATTTGAATGCTAGCTGAAAAACAGACAGATTTTCTCAATATAGAGACATATATTTTGATATAAACCCTAAGATTACTGGCTACCATTGCGGCCATCTGATCAAAGTCCTCACTGTGCTCTATTCAAGCTGTACATATTTTGAAATTTTCCCTAAAATTGATGAATGGCTTCATCATTTTGTCCAGATTGAAAGATGCACAAGTCCATTTCAGATATTTTATGTAGTTGAAGGGCTAAATTCCCTCAATTTCATATGTAGCAAAGTAGGGCTTCATGACTGTTCAACCTACAAATAATGTCAGTGACTAAAAAAAGTTATATCAGCTTTCAATGACTACAGTCACTTTCAACAACATAACCAAACAAGTCCTCGATTATCAGTAATTTTAAAGTATCTATACCTTAGCAACCAAGAAATTCAATCGTGTATAGATAAATGTCTTTTCTAATTGTGTATAGACAAATGTAAATAATCTATTCTGCAAAAGAAATAAATTTTCCTTTCACTATCAAATTTTAAAACACATTCCTATAAAATGTAATCCTTTGACCCAGTTTTACACACCTCCTCTATTGTTTGTGACAGGTCTATATTTTTCGGATAGACCTGTTTAAACAAAAGAAAGTCCGTTATGAGGTCTATCTTTTGCACGTGCACAGGTCTGTTCTAGTCAGACAGACCCGGTCATTAAATACACGTGAAAAAATAGACCTGTCTATGCGCAGACAAAGAAAACATGAAATGCCATCAAATATTAAAACCCTTTTAACTAAGAAATTATTCCAGCATCCCTATATATTCAATCTTTGTATAAAAATAATGGGTAGCATATCAAAGTTAGGACACATTTAACATTTATATAATCGCGTCATTTACAAAGTAATAGTTATTCTGTCATTAAGTTCATAATATAACAAAATGGACGCTTCAAGTTCATATCTATGAAACTATAAAGCAGAAATCACAGCATACTCATTACGATTTTAAAATGTTAATAAAGTTATAATTGATTTAGTTTAAAACATTTTATGATGAACGATCATATTTTATTCCAGAACATTTTATAATCTGCTACATAAAATATAGTTTCAGTTTATGTATCTTACACTTGCCAACAATATACATATGTAAGTCTTTCGTGGTCTGCTGGGTATCCACACATTGCCCTTCGGACAGTTGCCCCCTCGAAAGTTTGCCCCCTTTTTGCAGTGGCGGTCATTTTCCCCCTCTTATCTTTGGAAGGGGCGGACATATGCCCCCCCCTCCCTGTTTAAAAAAAATATTTTATTGTTGAATTGTTTGCTACCATAATTCATCGCCTATTGTGGAAATTTCATGGTGCTTAAATACACAAAAACTCGCGCAAATTTGTGAAAGTCAAAATAGCATCCATAAACAAATAATACTAAAAAATCTAGACACGAGATGACAAGTGACAAATCACAACGGAAAAGAGGGGGCAACATCCGGAGGGCAACTGTCCGGGGCAAATGTCCTAGAATCTGCATTGTCCGATACGAAATACTATTAACATTCATTCTTTAACACACCTTCTATACAGTCTGTTCACTTTATTATTGACAAATTGCACATTTAGCTTTTTTGATTTTAAAGGGGAAAGCAAAATTAATTTAAATGCAAAAAATATATTGTATTTAAGCAGAATGTTGATAAAAGCTTACCTGTATATGCGTTGTGTTAAAAATAATATTTGTGCATTTCATCAAATGCTTCGGATCAGGCATTGCTCAAGCCAATATAGTTTTAACGGTGTGTAAGTTGGATATCGGCCTTGTACATCGATCTTTCTGTTTAGGAAAGACCTCGTCACGAATTTCATGAAACACCTCGAGCGCTACGCGCTCTCGGTGTCACATGAAATTCGTGACCAGGTCTTTCCTAAACAGAAAGACTTCGTACTCAGTCGATATCCTATACATAATGTTATCTACCACGAGTGTGAGAAGAATTAAATAATTTCTTGCAGTTGAATAAAATTTTAAAACTGAATCACTTTCCTAAAATACAAACCATCCTTTTTCAGAGAGAATAGAATGAAGATACCTGCAAAAGATTGTTGTTGCTGTTGTTGTTGTTTTGTCATTCCAAATCTTTTAACATTGGAAGTTCAAAATGAATAATAAACTGTTACCACACTCTTATAATTTTTTGTTTAGCTTAAATTCAAGTGTTTTTAAAAGATCAATATATCATATTAAACAAGTTCAGGCAAAATATACCCTTTACAATGTACAACATTAGAGGTCAAAGTGGTGGGGTGGGACAGAAACATTAAAAGGGCTTATTAAATTACATTTTACATGAGTTTGGAAAAAAGTTTCAATTTAATATACAAGCCTTAGAACAATAACTTTTACTAAAATTGGCAAAATGAAATATTTATACAATTTGATCACAACAAATTCTCTCTAATCATGAGCTGCTACCAAATAAGAAATGACACAAAAAAGAAAATGTAAGATTGACAAAATGTTTATTACAGAAACTAGCAGATGGTGCACA